GAGCAGGAAATCCATCCACACCCACACTCGCCCACATCCATACCCACACCGTCAGCCGCACGCACACAGCCACCACATACACTTACATCCACCCACACCCTCCCCACTTTCACACCCCACCTACACCCACACCCCACCTACACCCCACACCCAACCACACCCCATACGCCACCCGCACCCTATTTTAAATGGTGTTTTCTTGTACCTTTCCAAGTGATAAAAATGCTCAGAGGAACCGCTGGTTTACCGCGGTTTTACCGAGCCGGTTGCCGGCGCCTGTCACTGCAATTTACCGCGGTTTACCGCTAAGACCTCTCCGATACTTACACTATGGTCTGTGATTTCGATAAAATTTTGATTTGACATTTAATTGTGATAGAGAACCCACAGGTTTATAGTTCAAGAAGCAATACAAATAGTTATTTTCTCTCACTGTAACGCTGAATAAATGAAATAATGTATTGGCTTGCACAAATAATAAGAAATCGCGTTGATTTTCAGCGAATTTTCATTCATTTCTATCAAATTTTTATCGGAACGGCAATCTGTTTTCATTTATTTTTCCAAATTTGTTCCGGAGATGATTAATTTTAAAAGGATTTGGTCTCATACGTTATCGGAGAAAAAGACACCCGAAGTTTTGGACGTTGGTGATTGGGAAAAGTGGACCCATACCCACATCCTCAATACCTGTGTTTTTGAGTGTTTATGTATAGGATAGTTGTCTTAATCTGACTTCTGGTGGAAAGAAGACCAAACAGTAGAACACTTAATTTTTTCTTTCTTTTCTCTCTCATACATTTCCTATTGAAATATTTGTAAACTGATTTCGTCTTGAATGTGATATGTAAATTATGGAAACATCGACTTGGATTGCATTGTCTCCATTCGGTTAATTAATAAAATTATGATTAAATGAAAAGCTACTGTGCATCCTATAATCTTTATACGAAAAATTATTCACCGATAATTATTGTAAATTATTTTGAGCAAGCATTTTATAATACGGTCCACGTCGTTGTATCAGTTCTGTATGAGTACCATTTTCCACTATATGTCCTCTATCAAGTACACAAATCAAATCGCATGAACGAATAGTTGATAGACGATGAGCAATAATGAGTGACGTTCGACTAGAATCGTCTCTTTGAGCCTGTTCAAGTGCTTCTTGTACAATCTATAGTTGAAAAATGAAGATGAAATTTTGATTGATAAATAGAAAATAAAAACAAACTTACTTGTTCATTGTGCGAATCCATGGCACTTGTAGCTTCATCTAAGAGCAATACTTTAGGCCGACGAAGAAGAACTCGAGCAATTGCAATACGCTGCTTCTCACCACCTGATAGAAAACAGCCTTTTGAGCCTACTTTAGTTTCATAACCCTAAAAAAATATCATACAATAGTAATAGATACATTCTATAATTTTGTATTGTGTAACCTGAGGTAATTGTTCAATAAATTGATGAATATTAGCTTTACGTGCTGCATTGATAATGTCTTCCATTGCAACATTTTCTAAGCCATATGCTATGTTTTCAGCAATTGTTAAATTGAACAATACTGGTTCTTGACTGACAAGACCAAAATGAGAACGAAGCGAATGAAGGTTTAGCTTTCGAATATCCATACCATCAATAAGCTAAATTGAGTGTAGAAATTTCATATAATTACTTAAACGGTATGCTGAAAAAAATACTAACTAATTCACCACTTGCAACATCATAGAATCGTTCTAACAGTTGAATAATTGTAGATTTTCCACACCCAGATGTACCTGTATGGATTATATTATGTAATTAACATTTAGAAGAAATATGTAATTCAAACATACCAACAAGAGCTACATGTTGACCTTAACAGTGAAGAAAAATTTTTGAGAAAATAATTCAATCGAAACTTGTCTCACTTACTTGCTTTGATATTCAATTGGAATTTGTTAAGAACAATAGATGTTGGCCGAGTTGGATAGATAAATTTCACTTGATTAAATTTTATCTCTCCGTGAAAATCAACCTACACAAATCATATTATATACATGACATATAAGTTACATGATTGAAAGAAAATAGTTATCTTTTATATTTCCTTACTAATGCATGACCTTCACTTGATGTATTATCAATAGCTGGTTTTCGATCAAATAAAATGAAAAACGTTTTAGCAGCTGAGACTGATGCAGCAATACGGCTATACCTAGAATAGAGACACTAGAGGAAAAAAATACCAAAGTCGGGATAGAGAGTGTTACATCATTCCGAGGACTCTTAGGGCTTGCATCGAAAGAAAAACAAAACCAAACACCCTAAAAAATTGAAAATATCAGGAAACATTGTCTCTAGATAATTAAATTGTATGTTCAATTACATTATAATATCATCCGAGTTGAGTTCTTTCTTCTCAAAAAGGACAAGAGCACTCCAAGAAAGAAATGCACAAGAATATGCATCTAGTGTCCAGAATATGCCGTATGTTATTGAAGATAGTATCAAAGTTTTCCATGGCAATCTATGACAACAAAAAGTCAATTAGAAATTTATACATGTATAAGATTCGATGGACCAACATAACAGCTTGACGAATAAGTTCAGAATATTGTCTCAACACTTCCTTTTCTATTGACAATTGTTTTATTGTACGCATATTGTGAAGAACTTCAGCAGTAAGCTGCACAAGTAAATGACAGAGTCAATGTAGTGTATTCGATATATGAAACAATTCATAATTAAATAATTTTTCCTACAAAACAAAAGTTATCAGCTAAATCTGATCTTACCATGCTTGCTTGTTCGAGAGCGTGATCAGCTTGCTCGGCCAACCGTATACGTAAACGCTCTTCCCCATAAGCGACTATGAATAGGATAAAAAAAGAACCAAAAACGATCATTGTTAATTGGCAACTTATGAAACATCCAAAAGAAATTCCAAAGAACGACAGTGCGACAACTTCACAGATGACTCCTAACCGTGTACCGGTCATCTCTTGAATGGCTGATGCATTAGAAGAAAGACGAGCACAAATTGCACCAGAACTATTTTCAGATCGATCGAAATAAGCAATTTCTTGACGAAGAAGACATCCAAAAGCTTTCAAACGAATACGTTGCGTCAATTTCGATCCTGCTATGGCAAAAGCTGTATACTACATGAAAGACCGAAAAAATCATTGATCGAATTCAGAAGCAGCATTTTTACCTGAAAGAAACGAAGAACCCATAAAGTAAGACCCAAAAGTAAAAAAAAAGCATTAGCGATCAACACTTGATGACGTCGCTCAGAGATTGAAGAATTTGTGAATGCCTACACAATAAATAAATCAACATAAAACAATCTATATTATCAATCATTTTTCACAATACTTATGTAGGAGGATTACTCACATGGACTATTTTGGCAAATAAAAATGCAAGCCATGGTTGAGTAGCTCCATAAATTGCAGACGCTAAACAACCAATCAAGATGGTAATCCATTCAGGGCCATTCATTGACAAGAGTCTTAAAAATATAGACCTGCGTCTGAGTGGCTTTACACTTTGCTAAAAGAGAGATTATCAATAAATTTATCTTTATAAATAATAGCAGTACTGTTTGTACTTTCTTCTCATCAGTAGTTTGACTATCACTGAGTAAACGAGTACTTTCAACTACTTAATAAAAAAGATGAAGAACAGTGAATATCATCACAATAAGAATATTTACAGACTTATCAAATTTTTATCTTCTTCTGTTGTTTTTTGTAGGCTCATTATATCATCTTGATCATCATAGATGCTTTCCATCTGTTGACGTTTAACCATTGCTTGATATTTGCCTCCTTCTTTTGCCATCAATGTTTCATGTGTACCTTGTTCAATCACACCTCCATTATCTAACACATATATTTGATGAGCATTTTTAATTGTAGTCAAACGATGAGCAATAACAATAGTTGTACGATCTATACAGAATGATATATCAATACGACCAACAGTTTAAAAAAATTAATTGTTACCTCTGCATGCTCGATCCAGTGCTTCTTGAACAACTTTTTCACTTACATTATCAAGTGCACTTGTTGCTTCATCCAATAAAAGGAAAGTAGGTTGTTTGACAAGTGCACGAGCTAATGCAATACGTTGTTTTTCACCACCACTCAACTGTATGCCACGCTCACCAACAAGTGTTTCATATTTCTAAACATTAAATAATGATACAGACATGTATAGATAAAGATAAATATCTGATACAAACATTTGGTAACTGCATGATGAAATTATGTGCATTTGCTTCTCGTGCTGCTTGTTCAATTTCTGCTTGTGTTGCATTTACTTTGCCAAAACAAATATTTTCATAAATACTCATACCGAATAAAATCTAGTAGAAGTGCTAATCAAATAGAATGAGAGAAAAGAAAAACAGAAAAACAAAGCATACTGGTTCTTGACTAACAACTCCAGTGTTTTGTCGAAGTTGTTTGACGTTGTAATCTGCTATGGGCCGATCATTAATGATTATTCGACCCGATGAAGGTTTGTAGTAACGAAGAAAAAGTGATATACATGTACTTTTTCCTATGAGTAAATTATGCATAGAAATGAGATCAATTTAAAATCTTTGTTTTCGAAAAGACTTACCACAGCCACTTAAACCTACGAGAGCAGTTGTCTGACCAGCACGAGCAATAAAAGAGAGATTATGCAGAACTGGTGTATCTTTACGAGAAGGATAAATAAAGTTGACATTGTCAAATTCAATATCACCATTGATATTATAAATACTTTCTGTATCCTCTGTCCATACATCTGTTTCATTGACACTCAAATCATTTCCCTATATTGTGTAAACAAATAAAGAATATTGTTATTGATAGAGGATCTCAATTTATTCGGCATTACTTCGTCAACAAGTCGAAAGACTGCTACTGCTCCACCTCTACCTTCTGAAAATGATTGAAGAAAAGGAGCAATGAGACTGAAGAAGCTCAGGCAATCTGCAAATATGATGACGATCTATATTAACAAAGTAGTCATAACTCATTTGCTTAATGAATGATTATATGAAGTACTCACGACAAAAATATCACTAATATTCAATCTAGAACCAAATTCGCTTGACTCAATTAGAGAACCAGTGGTAAAACCAACTACATAAACTAGGTAGCTTAGCAGAGTTAGCCATCCAGTAAAAACTCCAAACACTGCACCTTGCCGTACGCTATTCCGATGAGTAGGAAGCAATTCTCTTTCATATCTAAATGCAATAAAAATTACATCATGCTTTTATGATATCAAATAAATGAACGATTTTTATATATTTGTTTACCGTTTTTGCTCAAATTTGTTACCATTGAGAGAATGAACAGTTCGCAGTGAACTGAACACTTCTTGGACGATTTGTCCTGCTTTTGAGTATGCTGTTAACTCATTCGTTATTGCATTAGCAGTTATCTATGACAATTCATAAAGATTTAATTAGTTGAAACATATTTTATACCTTCGAAAACACAAATGCACTACCAATGGCTAAAAGTATCAAACTTAGCGTCACCAGAGTCAATTGCCAGTTGACAAAGAAACATACAATTACAGAACCAATAGTGTAGAGTACCATAAATAAAAATGATAAGAATTCAAAACCAATGCCATTATTTATCTTCGAAATGTTACTGAACAACAATTGAATCAAATGGAGTGACGTAACATTGAGTATCACAATAACTTACTCGAATAGTTCGGCATTGAGTTGTCGAATCGGTTGGGTATCCCAATAAGAGATGCTCTACAAACAGAGAGAAGAACAGTCACAGATGTGCGAGTTGGACTCTGTGTCATTTTAATTCCATCCTTGTTTTCCAAAGTCGACTCCACCTATATTTTCCAGATTTCAATCGAACTCCAACTTTACGATTTTTGAAAACCCTACTGCAATTCTAGATATATAAAGTCATGCTTTAGTCGATTCTATTTTATGAATTTGAATCTTTTTAGATTTGTTTCTGTACTCGGTTTTTCAACTGTAAAATTTTTTTATTCTTACTTCAGAAGTGACCAAGTTAAGTCAAATTTAATCGTGGTTGATAAATGTCTATATAATGTTCAGCGTCTGCGTATCTGTGTGTCTCTGCCGAGTCAAAGGTGAAAGGTTAACGGTCGTGAGGCTAGATGGGGTAACGCTAGAAGGGTATTCACTACAAGAATAAGGCTAAAGGGGATATGGCTATAACGGGATAAGGCTGTAAGGAGGTATGGCTGTAAGAGAGTAAGCCTATAAGAGAAGAAGGGTGTAAGTATAAATGACTATAAGGGACTAAGGCCATAAAGGGTAAGGTTATCAGGGGTAAGGCTATAAAGGGATAATGCTATCAGGCTAAAGGGGATAAGGCTGTAAAGAGGTAAGGTTATAACGTGGTAAGGTTATCAGGGAGTAAGGCTATAAGGAGGTAAGGGTACAAGAGTTACAAGTGATATAAGGATATGACGTCGTAGGGTTATCTATATACATAATGTCGAGTGTTTTTATGGTTCTAACCGGATGAAAAGTTAAAGGTTTGAGATCATACATTAAAGGAAAAAAGTAGCTGTGCAGTATGCACGGGTTTTCACTAGTATTTAATAATTCTAACTCGACTCCGATTTCACCTACCCAATATCAAGTTTTACTACAACAATGATCTAATAAGAAATTTCCTCATATATCCTCTTTCGATTACGATGACTTTTGCTTATAGATGCTAGATAGTATTCTAATAGAAACACTAAAATGGTTTCATTTCTTATTTAGATTAAACGAGCTATTGAATTTGAAATGTGTTTATTTCGCAGAGATCTTCATAGGATCCTTGGTTTTCTGGAAATTCGTGCTATTGAGTTTCATCTTGAAACTCTTTCATTTTGAACACATTATATACAGTTGTGTTTAGGAAGAGTTTCTCAGTTTCTAGATTTCTAATCACCAAGAAAGGCACTTTTCAAGATAAGATGCTTTTCAAAGCGTATTGAAAAATGCAAGAATATTTTGAAAATTTCAAATCTTGAAGATATGAAGTCTAAAATCTCTACAACTCTTCATTCAAGCTACTGTAGATGAGAGCTTCAAATAGAGATAGTTTCTGGATAAAAGTCAAAGACAAAATTTTTCTGAATATTCGAGATCCATAAGAATTATTATCAAATAGAAATTTTAAAAATCCAGTAACTATACGAAATCTCTATAGGAACAGAAATTCTTTATGGATTTTTCCGTAGAGTATTATATAGTATCTACAGGGTAGGTAAAAATATTTTTCCATGGGGGGAGGTAACTCTGTGATTTTAAATAGAATCAATAACAAATTTTATACCAAATGAAAGCGCGTCAAAAATGAGATTTACTAGTGTTAAATGGTAAGGGTTTTACAAAAATTTTTATATCACACATAATAAATCTCTAGAAACAGGATGCATAAAAATGGTTTTTTACGGGATAATGCTGTGATCTTAAATAGGGTCAATGACAAATTTTTATATCAAATGAAAGTGGATCAAAAATGGGATTTGTCAGTATTAAGTAGTAAGGGTTCTGTCAATCTTTTTATATAAAACATAACAAATTTCTAGAAATTTTCGCTATTTTAGTATGAAAAAAGTTCTTTCATGAGACAGTTCAAAAAATAAATTTGATTTAAATTGATGGTTTTCTACGAAGTAATGCTGCAAAATTTTCTAGAAATTTGTTATGTTTGATATAAAAAGATTGACAGAACCCTTACTATTTAATACTGACAAATCCCATTTTTGATCCACTTTCATTTGATATAAAAATTTGTCATTGACCTTATTTAAAATCACAGCATTATCCCGTAAAAAACCATTTTTATGCATCCTGTTTCTAGAGATTTATTATGTGTGATATAAAAATTTTTGTAAAACCCTTACCATTTAACACTAGTAAATCCCATTTTTGACGTGCTTTCATTTGGTATAAAATTTGTTATTGATTCTATTTAAAATCACAGCGTTACCTCCCCCCTGGAAAAATATTTTTAGCATCCTGTATATGAGAAAATTTGTTAAAACAGGACGATGATACCTGAAGAAATTTCCTATTATATCGACTCAAAATTGTTCCAACTTTCGTAGATGAAGGTGCAAACTCGACGTTCAATTCGTGTATCTTTGGACTAACAAGGGAACCTCGTCAAGTGTTAATTGCGGATTCGAAGGAAAGGGATACCACTCGATAGAGTTCGACGAGCTGGTCACAGTGGTAACAGACGTTTTTCCCCATAGGGCTTTCTTATAGAATATTCAGAAGATATTACTCTCAACAAAGCATAACATACATGTGTTGAATGTACAGATTGTATGTAGATACCGCATCCATTGTGCTTGCGATGCGCATATTAGATTGTCTATTTTGTTCTACAGCGGGTATGTTTTTTACATGTGTTCTACGCAGTAGTATTAGTGACAAGTACAGATTTTTCCCTTCATGAACTGTTCGATCACTAAATGTATTCTTCGCAGTGCATAATTGCACATCGGCAGAGAAAAAATACGCACAATTTATCCAATATCATCGCTCTCTCTCTTTTGCTCTGTCGTTGTACAACGTCCATTTGGAAAGAAAGCGAACGACATGTAAAACTAACATAATGGTTATAGTGTGATTCACTTATGTTGAATATTTCTTTCTTTCTTTTATCTATCATACAGATGCCATATGTACGTTTATATCTCTTTTTTCTTTTCTTTCCTTCACTTGGGCATTTTCTACACATACTCTTCTCTTAATGTTGGTTTCTTCTCTCTTGTTGATGTCTTCTTCCCAGTGTCTTTGGCTCTTTCCTAGCTTGTTCATACATATATAGTCATCATTTCGGAAGTAAAGGAGTAGTTCAAGATTGATCTGATAGATCAAACATCCATTAACAATGATAAACATTGCTAATATAGCTAAATGTATGCTTGATCAAATATTATCGAAAAAAACCGTTCAGATAACAGCCCCAAGCAAGGAAGAAATGTCAATCGCTGATCACTTGCTGAATCTGTTGAACGACATTTTTACAAGTGATAGCTATGACATTGACAATGACAGTACTTTGGAGTTCATGGATGATGTTGATATGGACTTTATATCTGAAGAGCATGCGGAGGACTTGGTCTCCGAGCGTGCTGAATTTACTTTGGAATACATGAAAAAAGTCGTAGACTTCGCTCGGCCTAGCATCGCTTTCATGACAATACAACATGCATTTCCACGTGTCAAGTATCCAATGCAATTAGCACGGTTTCGTGAATATGTCGAAAACAATGGAAATCGTCGGCAGAAACTTACTCGCATTGAACTGTTTCTTGTTGAAAAGTTTAAAGAAGCGCGAGGCAGAGGCTTGCCAGTTCATGATACAGATATTCAACGGTAGGGCTTAACTCAAGCAAAAGTAGAAAACGTCGAGAATTTCGTTGCCGATGATACCTGACTGCTGAATTTCAAACGACGGACTCATATTCGTTCAAGAAAAGTCACAAAGTTCGCATCGAAACATGAAGTTTTTCATAAGGAAGAAATTATTCAAGCCGGCGAAGAGTTCGTTAATGAAGTCAAAACGTTCTTGCATCAATACACACTTGAATCTGTTCTAAATACTGATCAATCAGGTTTCCGCTACGAACTCACATCCAATCGTACATTATCTTTTTGAAAGTGAAAGATCAACGCTCGTTACTGTCAACTCATCTAATGCCACCACGCATTCATATACCATAATGCCTCTCATCAATGCTGCCGGTAAACTTGTTGGTCCTCTCTTCGTATGCTTACAAGAACCTACAGATCGATTTCCTGTAACAAAAGATGTCTATTCTGCTCCAAATGTCGTCACAACCTGTAGTAAATCAGAAAAATTAAATAAGTCATTAATTGAATATTGGATACGGGAAGTTTTTGAAGACGTAACGAGCAATCGGTTTCTTCTATTGGTTGATCAATGGTCAGTTCAAACAAGTATTTCTATTTAGGAAGAACATCTCACGAAAGGACAATCTTGCAAGTTGATGGTAATTCCAAGAAAGGTCACATCAACAAGACAACCTTGCGATCGATACCTCTTTCGTCAATGGAAAAACCTGATACGATGAATTTATCACTGTGTTTTAATAGATGACCTCAATATTGATTTGAAAACTCGAGACTCTATTATAAAGCTTCGATCACTGGTTCACAATCAACTTTGTGCGGATGTTTTTGTGCCATTGATTTCATATTCGTGGTCAGCTTGCGGTTATTTTCAGCCAAAAAATCAGTCATTTTTGACTTTGAACGATGTTTGTTTCAGCTTTAAGGCGGATCAATGTTCAACAAGTAACTGTGATGACTATCCATTTATCTGCTGCAGCCATTGCCGGGATATTCTGTGCTTTGAACATTTTTTCAATAGTTATCATTTCCATCAATAAAAACATGTGTGTCTCATGAGCCTTTTCCTAATAAATGGACTCAGCCTGTTCCTACAGACCGTGTTCTATAGAGTATATATAACCTGAAAATTCTATAAGAAAGCCCTATAGGGAAAAACGTCTGTTACCATTGTGACCAGCTCGTCGAGCTCTATCGATTGGTATACCTTTCCT